GTGATTATTTTTAATAGTCTTGACTAAGTATTAGATATGCTTTTGCCAATACTGAGATCAATTATTCATGCTGAACATAACTGAATCATCCATCTTTCTTCCATTATGCTACATTTATTTTTGTGAAAGGAAAAGTAGAGAAAAGATGGAAACCAAGAAAAGGACTGTTGGGTCTTCCAGTTGTCTTTGGATACACCACAAAACCCTAAAGAACAGAAGTACCAAAGCCCTCATTCAAGCTTAACATGAGAAACTTACTCTTTCAAGTTTAGAGCTTTGTTCCTCCAAGTCAAGATAAATGTCACATGGGCAGCCACTGACAACCACAAATTCTTAGTTCCTTTATCTTTCTACTTTCTTGTTTGTTGGGTATCTTACAGTGAAAGCACTTTCCTTGCCACGTGATGTATCGCCAGAACCTTAAATTATTCATTTCCCAGTACTATGCCCCCATGCTGAGTGAGGAAGCAAACTAATAATCCTATACCATCACCACTACCATCCCAAATTTTCCAAATATAACTGCCCAGCACCAACGGAAAACAGAATTTCACTCTCAACCAAGTAGAAAGGGAGGAACTTGAAGATCAATCTATGGCCAGAGAAACAGTGCCTTATATGCGGCATGTATCACTATCTTCGTAAGATTCAACACCACCTGCCACATTCAGTGCTTGTTCATTTACTTGTTTACTGTCCTTCTTTACTAAAATGTAAGCTCCATGAAGGCAGGGTCTCTATCTTGTTGACTTGTGCAAACTACAAGCAGCTAGAACAAGGCATAGCATGCAGGTGTTCAATTAATATTTGCTGAGCAACTGAGTAAAAATGACACTCAAGCAGTTGAGAATTAACCCTCAAGAAAAAAACAAAAACAAAAACTCCCGTCACTCTCTTGTTGAAACATCTCTGGTAAACCTATCCTGCCTAGAGGATACAGTCCAACAATCAAAGTAGGAAAGCGCCTTCAAAATCTGGCCCTGCCTGCTTTTCCAGCCTTACCTGCTACCAACCAACCTCCACTCACTCACAAAATCCCACCTCCAAACACCAATATACCCACACCTCCACCTCCCGTGATACTAAGTTGCTAGCTCCTCTCAACACGCTCTTTCACTCGTTCAAGCCCTTAAAATAACTTTCCCTCTCCCCGGAAAATCTTACTCCCTCTTATCTCTCATTCGTCCTTTAAGGCCCAATTTCAATGCCTCCTCCACACGGGCTCCAGACACTCCCCGGACAATTTCCTACTCCTCTGTGTGCCCACATATACTACAATGCAAGTACGTGTGAGCGGCTATCATCCTGTAACGTATTCACTTGTTTCTCGTCTATTCCCCACCATCCTGAAGTTCTGGAGGTCAAGGGCCGTGTTAAAGAGGTTTCGCAAGCGCCTAATCCAGTATCTGGTTTTAAACGAGGCTACGGGCAAAGGTGCCAAGCGAGTCCATCCCATTTAGCAACGGCCCCATCCTGCCCCTGTGACCCCAGAGCCGTCCGCTTCGAACCCCTGACCTGCGGGACCATTTCCCAGAGACCGCGGCGGGGGAAGGGCGGGAGTCAGCCACGAGGGGCAGCCCCGGCCCCGCGGGCAAGGTGAGCAGGTGATGGCAGGGCGGAGCCCCGACCCCAGGTTCCAGCCGTACCTGCCTCACGTTGGCCGGCAACTTGCTCCAGGGGTAGTTGTGCCGAATGTGGAACTCCACGTCTATGTTCATGATGCCGGGAGCCCGGCCGCGGCCGTGACCGCAGCTGCAACGACGCCTCCCGCTTGCCCACCCTCGGCCTATCGGGGAGCCCGCGGGAGGCCCCGCGCCTCACACTGCGGAAGGCCGGGGCTGCCCCATCGCCAGGGCTCCCGACAGCTCGGCGCTGCCGGGCCACGGGGCACAGGAGCAGCGGAGATCCGGGGAAGGAGCGCCTCTGCAGCTCCAAGTTTCTTCCTAGTTTCGGCCCGCCGGAAATGGCTTTGGGCTTGCGTCACTTCCGCCCGCTGGCGCGAGGCTGAAGGGCCGGGACACCGACTGGCCTCCTGCCCCGCCCCCAGAGTGTAGGGGGCGGGGCAAGAAGGTGGTGAGGCGAAGCGCCGGGTAACCGCCCCCTGCCCACGCGTTTGGCTCCTCCTGTCAGTCTCTAAAATTCTTGGGTCTGCATTGCCATTGCTGGATGTCCCAGTTTTCTCCAGTTTCAGGCACTGGAGTAAGTTGTCTAAGAATGATGGGCTTGGGGAGGAAGTCATAGCTGCCTTCAAATAGTGGAAGAGCAATGAGCCCTCCTCCCAAAGCCAACCCTGAAGAATCTCTCCAGTCAGTGGGGTTGGAGAAACTGGACATCTACAAGCAAAAGAATGAAACTGGACCACTATCTTACATCGTACACAAAAATAAATTCAAAATTGATTAAAGAGGGGCGCCTGGGTGGCTCAGTTGGTTGAGCGACTGCCTTCGGCTCAGGTCATGATCCTGGAGTCCCGGGATCGAGTCCCGCATCGGGCTCCCTGCTCGGCGGGGAGCCTGCTTCTCCCTCTGACCCTCCCCCCTCTCATGTGCTCTCTCTCATTCTCGCTCTCTCAAATAAATAAATCTTTAAAAAAAAAAATTGATTAAAGACTGTAACACCTGAAACCAAAAATGCCTAGGAGAAAATATAGGCAGTAAGGTCTTTGACATCAGTCTTAGCAGAATTTTTTGGACCAGTCTCTTCAGGCAAGGGCAACAAAAGCTAAAATAAGCAAATGGGATTACATCAAACTAAAAGCTTCTGCACAGCAAAGGAAACCATCAACAAAATGAAAAGGCAGCCTACTGAATGGGAAAAGACATTTGCAGATCACACATCCAATAAAGGGTTAATATCCAAACTATAGAAAGAACTTCTATAACTTTGTATTAAAAAAAAAAAAAAAAAACCTGCAAGAGGGCAGGCGCCTCCAGGAAGGCCTTCTGGCTTTGAACAGGGTACCAGCATGTCTGTGCTTTGCTACCTCAGAACCCTGTCACCGCTGACAGGATTTTTACCAAATGTAAATTGTTGTCTCACCGGCCATTGGAATTCAGAGCCTTCTTAGCTTATTACAATGCCATCTGCAACAAGGAAACAGGCCAGCTCAGCCAAGCTGACAAGGAACTCGTCATCGTAGTGACCAGCCTGGCCAACAAGTGTCCATACAGTGGGGTTGTCTGCAGTGCCGGGTACAAGGTCTACTGGAAGAACCCAGTGCTCCCTGACCAGGTCTGTGTGAACTGGAGAAAGTCTGACCTCCCTGCTGGAGTTTGCACTTGCTCTTTCCCGAGCTGATGACATAACAGATGACCATTTCAAAAAGCTCTCGAGGTGCAGGGCTTCAGTCGAGAAGATGCCTGGGATATCGCTGCTATTTCAGCTTTTTTTCCCCATGTCCAACCGCCTGGCTCATTTTGTCAGTCTTCTTCCCAACAAAGAATTCTATTTGATGGGCAGAACCAATGATGTCAAAGACATCATAAGGGAACCTGCTGCTCCCAAAGTATAAAAGCTTAAACAGAAAGACCAGAGTTAACGTTTCAGGCACATTGCATTATAAGGCATCAGTTAGGAAGTAATTTTTTAAACACATCTAGTCAGTGGATTCGGGGAGAAAGTAAATGAATTTGCTCCCTGCCTGCTAGATCAGATAGATCCTAAGTGTTGGGGAGATCCAGGGACATGTGATACCAGGGTGTAGGGGAAATGTTTGCTCACTTCAGGGAACCTTTACCAATGGTTTCCCTGTGTTGTGATCTAAAAGGAAGATCAGGGCAAAGAAGTTCAAAGGATGCTTTAGACATTTCTGATGAACTGATATCTGTGAAGTTGAGCAGTTGAAGTTGAAAATTTTTTAGCACTCCAAAATAGTGTTACATAGGAATTGGTCTATATAGATTGTGATTTGCAGTCAGTTCCTTGTTAACATGACATGGTTGTATTTAAAGGCTCTCAAAGGTAATGGGTAAAGAGGAGCAGTCACAGTTAAAGTTAATCTATCTTAGTGCCTGAGTCTCAATGAACTTCCAGTAATTTTTTTTTTTTTTTTTACTGATGGGTTTTAAAATCATGGCCATCTCAATAGAATTTTAGTCCAAATGTAATTTATCCTTATTTTAGGTTTTAGTAAAAATTATTTGGAATAAGTGAGGACTCACATTTTAAGTAGAAGCATAAGAAAGAAAGAAAGAACCATAAAACCCTGGCATTACTGAATGGTTCTGTGTGTTATAGCCACCATGGCCTTTTTTGGTTATCTTCTCAAGAATCATGTTCGTTATCTGACTGATAGAGGACATGCAAACCTGCAAAATTTTCTCTTCCCATTTGGCTTCTCCAGATTCTCTAAATTGTTAGTGAACATTTCTTAATCAGTTCGGGGACTATGGTGTGTTAATTTTGAATTGCCTGAATGGTGAAATCTGATTATCTTGAGGCAGCATGAACTTTCATCGTAGAGCTTGTGTTTTTCTGTTGGGACTATATCTTAAGTACCTTGGAATATGTAACCTTTTACAATTGTTTTATTTTACCTATTAAAAATTAATAAAAAATTTTATTAAATTTTTGAATTTTGATTAAAAAATGGACAGAGGATTTGAATGGACATTTTTCCAGAGAAGACATACAGATGGCAAACAGACACATGAAAAAAATGCTCTACACCACTCATCATCAGGGAAATGCAAATCAAAACCACAGCGAAATATCACCTCCCACCTGTCAGATGGGCTTTTATCAAAAAGACAAAAAATAACAAGTGTTGGCGAGGATGTGGACAAAAGGGAACCTTTGGGCACTGTTGGTGGGAGTGTAAATTGGTGCAGCCACTATGGAAAACAGTATGGAGGTTCCTCAAAAAATTAAAAATAGAACTACCATGCAATCCCACAATTCCACTTCTGGGTATTTACCTGAAGAAAATAACAACACTAATTCAAAGAGATATACACACCCCAATGTTTATTGTCATATTATTTACAACAGCCAAGATATGGAACATTATTCATCCATAAAAAGGAAGGAAATTTTGCTATTTTGTGACAACATGGATGGAGCTAGAGGGTATTATGCTAAATGAAATAAGTTAGACAGAGAAAGACAAATGCCATATAATTTCACTTATATTGGAATCTAAAAAACTTCACTTATATGGAATCTAAAAAACAAAACAAATGAACAAACAAGACAAAACAGAAACAAACTCATAGATACAGGTAAACAAGCTGTTGATTACCAGAGGGAGGAAGTTGGGGGCGGTGGATGGACAAAACAGATGAAGGGGATTAAGAGGTACAAAGTTCCAGTCATAAAATAAGTAAGTCAGTGAGATGTAATGTACGGCACAGGGAATATAGTCAACAATATTGTAAGAACTTTGTATTGTAACAAATGGTAACTAGACTTATTGGGGATTGTTTTGTAATGTATAAAAATATTGAGTCACTGTGATGTACACCTGAAACTAATAAGCTATTGTACATCAATTATACTTCAATAGAAAAAACTTAATCTAGAGGTGCCTGGGTGGCTCAGTTCGTTAAGCGTCTGCCTTCAGCTCAGGTCATGATCTCAGGGTCCTGGGATCGAGCCCCACATCAGGCTCTCTGCTCAGCACGGGTCTGCTTCTCTCACTCTCCCTCTGTGCTTTCCCTCTGTCTCTCTCTCAAATAAAATCTTTATTTAAAAAAATAAAAAACTTTATCTAATTATAATTACATTAAAATTTCTTAACTTTCTATTCTTATAGCCCACTTCCATTGTTAGAAACAAGCAAAAAAAAAAAAAAGAGAGAGAGAGAGAGAGAAATACTATCTGTTCTTAAAGTCTTTTAAAATGTCCAGATTTCTTCATCTGCATACTATTGGGAACTCCTCATGGGTATGACAAGTAATGCTAAATATAAACCCCCATATTTTCTTTAATTATAAAAAATTAAATTATGCCATAGCACATGTAATCAATATTTTTTAAATGATATAAACCTTATCTAAGTCTACTGAGAATTTGATCTCTTGGAATTTGTGCTAAAATACTTTAAGAAAGCAAGAGTTCAGGGGGCGCCTGGGTGGTTCATCGGTTAAGCGTCTGCCTTCAGCTCAGGTCATGATCCCAGGGTCCTGGGACTAAACCCCGCATCAGGCTCCCTGCTCGGCGGGGAGTCTGCTTCTCCCTCTCCCACTCCCACTGCTTGTGCTCTCTCTCTCTCTTTCTCTCCCTCTCTCTCTATCAGATAAATAAATAAAATCTTTTGAAAAAGGAAGAGTTCAGAAATAAAACACTTACTTTGAAATAAACCCAGATCTGTTACCTATTTAAAAATAAAAATGAAAAATCTCACAGCATTAGACCCTCTTTCCCCCACCAGTCAGTGAAGCAGAGGACAGGTAATCTGCCTTAGAGAGAATGTGGGCTCTCCCACGGGCCACATTCTTCGCTCCTCCCTTCCACCTCTGTTACGGAGACTGTCGTTGTGAGAACCATTCCACCTGCGCTTCATTTATTTTGGAGTGGAGAAATATTTCTGTATTCTTCTATGGTAAAAGTTAAAAAGAAAAGAAAAGAAAAAGACTGAAAGACCCAGTTGTCCATCCTCTCTTGCATTACACACTTCAGAAATTTTAAGACATTTGCAATTCCCTAAATATGCCAAATAGAATATGCCCTTTCTTGAATGCTTTCCCCTACTTATCTACCTGGAAAACTTCTCATCCAGACACTGTGACTGGAACACTAAAGAATCAGGAGGTAAGGATGGAGAAGCGGGAAGGGGCAAGAAAAATGTGGGACCGTTTTTCTCTCTGTTAGGGAGTTTCTAGGACTTTCTTCGCAAATGATGGAAAGGAACTGAGAGTTACAAGTCTGTCGTAGAGAGAGGCAAAGGGATCCTCTTCACAGAGCCTGCGAAAGATTGATATTATAACATTTATCTCTAATACCGAAAATAATGTATTTCTGCCATCAGAAGTCAGTCTGTCAGAACATTTCTGGTGTTGAACATTCCAATATCAAGCCACATTGAAATGAACATTCCACTATCAAGCCACACAACTGAAATGCTGAGCCATTGTGATAGTTAAAGTGCCCACTAGGGGCTGATCTCACACAACATTTCTATACCTAAAACCTGCAAATTCTTCTCTTCCTCATTTCTATTGACTTTTTTAATTTTATAATTTAAATTCAATTAATTAACATATAATGTACCATTAGTTTCGGAGGTAGAGTTCACTGATTTATCAGTTGCCTATCACACCCAGTGCTCATTACGTCAAGTGCCCTCTTTAATGCCCATCACGCAGTTATCCCATCCTCCCCCCACTACCCCTCCAGCAACCCTCAGTTTGTTTCCTAGAGCTCAGCATCTCTTATGGTTTGCCTCCCTCTCTGTTTTTATCTTATTTTATTTTTCCTTCCCTTCCCCTATGTTCATTTGTTTTGTTTCTTAAATTCCACATATGAGTGAAATCATATGGTAATTGTCTTTCTTTGACTGACTTATTTCATTTAGCATAATACCCTCTAGTTCCATCCATGTCATTGCAAATGGCAAGATTTCATCCTTTTTGATGGCTGAGTAATATTCCATCGTGTGTGTGTGTGTGCGTGTGTGTACATATACATATACATATATATATATATATATATATATATATATATATATATATATATATATACCACATCTTCCTTATCCATTCATTTATCGATAGACATCTGGGCTCTTTCCATATTTTGGCTAGTATGGATATTGCTGTTACAAACATTGGAGTGCTCCTTCATTATCCAAACCAATCTCTCAGGCCTTAAAGTCCTTGGAATTCTTTATTTATTTATTTATTTGAGAGAGAGAGTGAGAGAGAGCACGCAAGAGGGGGTAGGGTTAGAGGGAGAAGCAGACTCCCCGCCGAGCAGGGAGCCCGATGCAGGACTCGATCCCGGGACTCCGGGATCATGACCTGAGCCGAAGGCAGTCGCTTAACCAACTGAGCCACCCAGGCGCCCCTTGGAATTCTTTATTTATTGGAGCTTTGTCTCGCATATCTGATAGCACCAAATACTGTCAGTTCTTCCTTGGAAATTGATGCAGTTAGGACTACAGCACAGTAGTCCATCTGAGGTTTGCACAATCTCAAGGTCGCCACTGAGCCTAAAGTTTTCTGTGGTAGGCCAAATAAACAGGATAAGTCCATTGGCTACAAAGCATAGTTTATCCTTAATTGAAAGTATTTTCATAGCATCCATGATGAGGAGTAAAATCACATTTTGAGTGAATGGGATTTGTGAATTCCATAGTTGCTCTTCAATTCTGTTTTGTAAGAGATTGGACTAGCTGGAAAAACAAAGAGGACAAAGGGAGGAGCTTATGAAAACCTATGGAAGTGAGGAGGTATCTGGAGAGCTCTTCTCATTTCTCTTCCCCATTACTTCATCAAAGAAGTTCATTTAAGTATATGGATTAGATACAGAAGAAAATATTTCAATGCCAGATTTTTTTTTAACAGAGCAAAAAGAGGGGCACCTGGGTGGCTCAGTTGGTTAAGCATCTGCCTTCAGCTCAGGTCATGATCCCAGGGTTCTGGGACCGAGTCCCGCATCCCTCTCCCTCTCCCTCTGCCGCTCCCCCTGCTTGTGCTCTCACCCCCTCGCTCTGTCAAATAAATAAATAAAATCTTAAAAAAAAAAAAAAAAAACAGAGGGAAGAGGGTAGTCTTAGGAGCATGAGAATGACCTGAGAAGTTTTTAAGATTACCAATGCCTAGACCTCACACCCGATCAATTACATCAGAATTCCTCAGTTGGAACCCAGGTGATTCAAAGCACAGCAAGGTTTGATAACCACTTATCAGGCCTCGTCAGGCCTCAGGTACTCAATAAGCATTTGCTGGATTTGTAAAATGAGATTGAACAAAGATGACTTCTAATGTACATTCTAACTCTACAACACAATAATTCCATAGCCAACTAAAATAATTTTTTTCATATGCAAAATAATTCCTCCAGTCTGCCCCAGGCTTTTTTTTTTTAAGATTTATTTATTTATTTGCGGGGGGGGTGGCGGGGGGGGAAAGAGAATCTTAAGCAGACTCCTCGCTGAGCGTGGAGCCTGACATGGGGCTCCATCCCAGGACCCGGGGATCATGACCTGAGCTGGAACAAGAGTTAGCCACTTAATCGACTGAGCCACCCAGGCACCCCTGGCTTTTTTTGTAAAGAAATACACAAACATTTATTCCACGTTCATGTAGACCAAAGAAATCATTTCTCTACCCCCTTGATAACTGTTGGGAGAGCCCTGAGAGAAACAAAGAATTACACACTATTGGACTAGGGGAAATTATCTGAGTTCATGTTACACATGGAGCATTGGTCCATTGCAGATCTTTTTAGCTTCTTTGGGTGTATTGTCACAGTGGTTTAGAACTTCGCTGAAATGAAATATTTTTTGTTTCCTTCTACATTATGTCATCCAAACTTTACACCTTTAGCAACACATAATCTCTTGATTGTCTAACAAGAAATAAGAGTTTATATACTAGTGTAAACTATGATCAGGGATTAAATTCATGTATAGTGGGATTGCTTCATGATCTCTATTAATGACATTTGAGTAAGAGACAGGATACTTTCTTGGCTACAACTACAACTGATCCCAGAACAATGTAAATCAGCTATTTCTTAGCTCAGGTCTTTGTACTCTCACTTTGCAGAAATGTGCAATTCTCTTTCTTTTAGAATTTGTTAAATGTGGTTAGTGACATGTCTTCTTAGACTTTGTATAGCCTTAATGTGTAGTGATTTTTTTCTTTTTCTTTCTTTTTTTCTTTTAAATAGGAAGCCAACTGAACCATGTAACCTGGTAAAAGGTAGGCCCAGGAAAGTGAAAGCCAGGAAAAATTAATTAAAAAGCCAACATCATCCATTTGCCTTTGAGAAGATAAGGATTATTACAAAGAAAGGCAAAGAGAAAGTCAAGGTTCACCATTGGAAATAAAAAATAGGATTTTTGAGTCTGAGCAAGATACTAGTCTTGAAAGCCAGGCTTGGTTGAGAAAGGTTTTCTGATTATTTTAGTTCCCACTGGCGTATCTTGAGGAGAAACAGAGGGAGAAGATGAAATCTTCAAGGTAGAGTATTTGCTGAATAGAAACCATTGCCCCAGTGAAATGACTGTATTTAATCAGGAAGAGGTTGAATTAAGAGCATCTTTACTAGTAGACTTAAAGCCCCACTTCCCACCCCAATGGGGTGAGGGTATGAGGATGATTAAGTCTAACTTTGAAAACCAAATAGCCCCACATTTTCTTTGTCCATATAGTCATGTATGAACATTTTCAACTCCCAAGCAGCTGCCAGCTTTAATGTGAGCCACGATTTATTTTCTGCACATGGAACATAAGAAGGAACAAGACTAAGCTGGAGGGATTGCCCCTCACTATCTGCCTTCCAAGACAGTGTTAATATCCACATGTTGAGATCCTTGGGTAGCAGACAGCAGGACCTGTCATGAGGAGAAGCATGGCAGGTTTCCATGGGCCACTGAGAAAGTGGAATAACTAAGAAGACCCAAACCGTGACCTACTAAGGGCCTGGATCTAAAGGGAACTATGAGAATCCTTTGAAGGATTACGTTCCTGTGGGATTCTTTTAGGCAGACAACCCTGATCCAGGCTAACAGAGGAAAGGGGGCAAGATTGCTTCATGGATTCGATCGATGAAATTAACATGAATGATTGCAATTAATTCCCAAATGTGAAAGAAACACAGAGCAGGTAACAATTGGGACTAAATAAAATCTCAAAGGAAAATCTCTCACTCTGTAAATAAGGAAAAGAGATGGGAAGACGCCACACCCAGATCTTAACCACCCTCCTGATTCTTGCAGCCCAATAACAGAAATAGAGTTAGCAATTGATTTTGTCTCACTGCCAAATATTGATTTCCAATTCTAGAGAAATACTAATTTAACAGAAGGATACATTCTTTTAAGAAAAATATGCTAAGTGCTTTCTATGTGCAAAGAACTATACTAAGTATTTGGGGATAGAGATGAATAAAGCATGATCCTTTCCCTTAAATGATTTACCATCTTATAGGGTTGAGAATCCAGGTACTTAATTTGATGGAACATAAAGGAGAATACAATGATGAGGATAAGATGATAAAGGGTCTAGTGGAAGGAAGTGGCTCTTCTGATTAAGGATTCTGGAGGCAATCACAGAGGAGGTAATGTTTTTGCCTAAGTAGATCCTAAGGGACTGGAGGGGAAGGTGTTTTGGCTGGCAAGGGATGATATGGAAGATATCACGGAGACCAGAGCACATTGAAATAAAAAGGATTGAGTGATGCTCTTGCTAATCCCTTTTGTCAGTGATTTAATGACCAGAAAGCCCCATTTGAGAGAAGAGCTGTCCTTCTTTAGCTCTTCAATGTTTTATGATATATTCATATAGCATGATCATAATATTGATCTTTGTATTTAAAATACTAATAAACAAAAAAACCCCAAAAAGTAAATCAATAAAATATGAATAAACAAATGGACCTAGTTTATAATCTGTCCTATTTTCACAGAGAAGCCCCCTCAAAGAATTCCAAACACTGTCAAGGAAAGAAATGTTTAAAGAAATTGAGATCACTTGTAGTTTCCTGCCAAGCATACAGCCACTGGATTCTAGAAAAATAAGAAGCCGGTTGCTCATTTTGTAAGTAAAACACAAAGGTCTATCACACGTGGCATTAAAAACGATAGCTGGTATAAGCTGGTACCATGTATTTATTTCTGATATGAGAAACTAGACACACCTGCCATTAACAAAAAATGACATGATACCGTGCAGGAATACGCAGGAGAACATACCAGGGCTGCTTAGTCATCGCATTGCCTCCTGCTGATAATTATTTCTGGGCTCCTCACTGAGAGACTTCAGAATTCTCTAGACCAGAAGTTCTCAGCCAGGGGCAACTTTGTCCGCAGGGGACATCTGGCAATTTCTGGAGACATTTTCGGTTGTCACAACTGGAGAAAATGCTACTGGGATTTAGTGGGTAGAGGCCAGGAATGCTGTCCTAAAATGCATAGAACAGCCCCCCCCACACACACACACAGAAAGAATTACGTGGCCCAAAATGTCAATGATGCCAAAGTTGAGAACTGTCCCCTAGATGACAAACCACTTGGCACGAAAGCACGTACTCTAGAAGCATTCACCCCCAAATTTCAGATTGTAAATCCCAAGTCAGTTCTGAAGATTTTCAGTGTAATCACTGTACAGGAATCCACATCCACCCTAATGCTATAGTTGTCAGGGAGAGAGTATTCAAATTCTCATTTGACTATTTTATTGAGTGACCTCTGGTTATTTAACTATTTGTGCCTTAGGGTCTCCATCTATAAAATTGGGGAAAATAATAGTAACTATCTCCTAAAGTTGATGTGATGTTTAAGTAAACAAACAAACTTAAAGTGCTTAGAATAGGGTCTGGCCCACAGCACTAAATAAATGTATTTTTTTTAAGATCTTATTTATTTGACAGAGAGAGAGAAAGACAGCACAAGCCGGGGGTGGGGGCAGGCAGAGGGAGAGGGAGAAGCAGGCTTGAGCAGGGAGCCCGATGCGGGGCTCAATCCCAGGACCCCCGGGATCATGACCTGAGAGCTGAAGGCAGATGTTTCACTGCCTGAGCCACCCAGGCGCCCCTAAATAAATGTATTTTTGTCTTATTATTATTAATATTTGGCACAAAGAGAAATTTAAAATTTGCATTTATCTAGACCAATTTCCAAAAGTTCGGTCATTTAAATAATAAACTTATTATTTCCAAGTATCATCAAAACTACTACTTTCTTGAGATTTTTTGCTAAATTGTCATGCTTCACATAATAAACTTTTTCTGTCATTCACAGGTTTCGTGTCTTCGTTGTATTGTCCTAATACACATAAAATAATGCAAGGCTATCAAAGCAAAGTTTTGTGTGTGTGTTCCGCATAAGATCATCTGGGCTGCTCCGCTGGTAGACATACCACAATTAGAGGGCCGCCCCGTTTCTAGTAGATTGTCTCATTCATTTGGCTGCTGAATGTCTAAACATCTATGGATCTTACTAAGAGGCAGGGCTCTCCTCCCTTCAGCAAAACCATACATGGCAAATATATTCTCCTTCTCAGGGGCCTCTGCAGTTAAGGTCTGAACATGTGCCTTCAGCTTTAACAATCAGACTTGCTCACGTCTGGGTCTGGATCAACAGCTGGTGACCAAAAGAAGCAGGCACGGTGTGTCCATGTTCTCAGTCTCAACAAGACACCCTCACATGGCTATGGGCGCATCCAGCCCTAGCAGGCTAAGGGGGCAAAAATGGTCTCGTTGGTTCAAGATGACCCAGTATCCCGGGAATGCCCAGAATTGCAAACTCAGATGCTAAGAGACTACACAAGTAATGTTGACGAGACACAGGAACCAGTCAGGGGGTGGTGGGGACTGTGCCAGCCTGAACACCCATGCCTCACCTAACATGGGCACCTGCTGCTCAGATCCGCGGTGGGATGCAAGCCCAGTGCTACCTGGTCTGATTTTTCAAGAGAAATGGGAATTCAGAATTTTGTGTGAATCTGATGGGCAACCCATTCAAAGTACATGAAAACCCATGGTGGGGGGCAACACTGAGGGGCACATGCCTGTGAGTCAGCTTCAGTTGTCAGGCCGCCATCTGCCAAGTCCAGGGTCTTCCTAAACACTCTCACCTCTTACTGGCTCCTCAGTGGAAGGTTTATTGGGGGAGAAGTGAAAGTAGCTTCTCTCTACCCCTGCAATATTAGTAAGACTTCAAGTAGCTAATAAGATTAAATAATATCATTCTTATTAGTATTATTATTACTTAATAATAAATAATAGTATTATTAGGTATTACATATTAATAACATTACTTAAAATGATTACTTTTAAACATTATTAAGTAGTAGTAATAACAATAAGTAACCAATAATAGGAAAGCTTCAAAACTTCTAGATTTTCTACCAGCCTTCCAAGGAGAAAATCCAGTCCCTGAATAAAACACAATTCCACTTCTCTGTACTTTTGCTTGTGTTGTTTTATCTTCCTTTATGAACCCCACTTTGCCTGATGATCCCCTACTTTTCCTTCTAAGATCTGTTCAAGAGTCACCTCCTTCTGGAAGCCTTTCCTGATTTCCGCTCCCTTTCCTTCTTCCCTTACTCATTCACCTTAGATTAGGTCCCCCAGAGCACCAAGAGGTAGTATTCCAGAACTTTCAAAGACAGTGTCTTTGCCCCAATTCTCTAGCAAACAGATGGATAAAGCACATGCTAGCACTCTACTGGGGGTACAATCCCAGGACACTAAGAGTGAAGGGGAAACAACGTAAGGCAGGAAAGGCCCGAAAGCAAATACAAAGTACCGTGGTCCTGAACGGCCTACAGCTTCTCAAGAAAACAGTCAGTTGGGCACCTGGGTGGCTCAGATGGTTAAGCGTCTGCTTTCGGCTCAGGTCATGATCCCAGGGTCCTGGGATCGAGTCCCACATCGGGCTCCCAAGCTCCTTGGGAGCCTGCTCCTCCCTCTGCCTCTCTCTCTCTCTCTCTCTCTCTCTCATGAATAAATAAATAAAATCTTTAAAAAAGAAAAAGAAAAAAAGAAAACAGTCAGTTGCTTAGTCCTGTGTGATGCCTCTCAAGAGGCAGTATGAACCTACTGCACCTCAAAACAGTTACTGGGGGGCAAAGGGGTGAAGCATCTGTTGGCTCCTGCCTGTCTTCAGCCTCCCATTGGCCAAAATCAGAGCTATGAGACAGTGACTCCCCCAAAGGAGGAGTGTTGGTCCTCACCAGGGCTGGGGCTACCCGAGGGCACGGGGGAGGGGTGCTGCAGTGAGCGTCCCGCAGGCTGTGCATTTCCCAGCAGGCTGCGGGCACCATGGGTCTGTGCGCTAGCACCTCCTCCAGGTCCATGCTGGTGTTGCCCCACCTCAACTTCTGGGGGTCAGCCGGCATCTTATGCCACGTGGGAGCCCACATCTTTATCATTTATGATGAAGATGCGTACACTCTCATCCCCACTGTCCTGATCACCCTGTAGGAGCCCCACTTTTCCTTATTGGGCTAATTGGTAGCTGTGCCACAATGCCAGAAAGCCGCTAAGGACTTGCCACATTTGTCATCATCCTGCTCTTGGCTTTTGTCACAGAAGTCGTTGTCATGGGTTGGGGATACATTTACAGAGCAAAGGTTGAACATGAGGATGATGGCAGCATTCAGACAATGTGGGAGACCTGCAATGGGACAGCCACAGATGCTGCTAGCTGGGCGGGGGATTACGTACAGAGACAGCGGCACTGTTGTGGAGCTCACAGCAACTCAGACTGGTTCAAAGAAACCAAACACCAGAGTGTCCCTCTTAGCTGTGCAGAGGGACCGTCAGCAGCTGTCCTGGCAGTCTGGCCCAGCCCTCTGACCTCTCTGCCGAGGGATACGAGGCTCTAGTTGTCAAGAAGCTACAGGAATTCCTGGTGCATCTTATCTGAGCGGCACTGGCATCAGCAGCTATCCAGCCGCTGGGCGTGCTGTGTGCATGCATCCGATTGTGCCCGAGGAGTCGAGATCCTGCTTAGGAGCTCCTCATCACCGGTGGAACCTCTGCATAGTCGAAAACGCATGCCTGTACGTGCACCCCGATGTTTATAGCAGCAAGGTCCACAATAGCCAAACTGGAAAGAGCCAAGATGTCCATCAACAGATGAATGGATAAAGAAGATGTGGTATATATATATATATATATATATATATATATATATATATACACAATGGAATATTATGCAGCCATCAAAAGGAATGAGATCTTGCCATTTGCAATGACGTGGATGGAACTGGAGGGTATTATGTTGAGCGAAATAAGTCAATCAGAGAAAGACATGTATCATATGACCTCACTGATCTGAGGAATTCTTAATCTCAGGAAACAAACTGAGGGTTGCTGGAGTAGGGGGTGGGGTGGGAGGGATGGGGTGACCGGGAGATGGACACTGGGGAGGGTATGTGCTATGGTGAGTGCTGTGAATTGTGCAAGACTGTTGAATCTCAGATCTGTACCTCTGAAACAAATAATGCAATATATGTTAAGAAAAAAAAAAAAGAAGAAGATAGCAGGAGGGGAAGAATGAAGGGGGGAAATCGGAGGGGGAGATGAACCATGAGAGATGATGGACTCTGAGAAACAAACTGAGGGTCCTAGAGGGGAGGGGGTGGGAGGATGGGTTAGCCTGGTGGTGGGTATTGAGGAGGGCACGTTCTGTATGGAGCACTGGGTGTTGTGCACAAACAATGAATCATGGAACACTTCATCTAAAACTAATGATGTAATGTATGGGGATTAACATAACAATAAAACATTTTTAAAAAACAGCATTCAAAAAAAAGAAAACGCACACCTGAGCTTTTTAGTCTTGTTGTTCTGATTTGAAAGGTGAATTGAGCAGGTCCACTGCTATTGGTGGCCTCCTGAGTTCATTCAGTTAAAGCACATATACACAGGTGTTGGACAGAGCAGGTGGCTCTTCATGTGCTCACCTACTTCCCCACCCACCTCTGACTTTCTTTTCCCCTATTCTAGCTGACTCTCCACGTCCCCTAAGATTTTAAGGATGGCAGTCTATGTTCTAGTTTTGGAACCACTTACAGGTAGCATAGTGTGGGAGAGTCAAAGGAGGGCTGGTGCCTGCTTCTCTTACCTCCATGGTGCTGGAGTATCACTGGGTCCTTTCAGTCTTTATGATGGAGAACTCTTGGCCAAAGTTTTCTGGGGGGAGAAGGAGGAAACTAGGTATGGTTAAAGGTAACACCAGACAGTGCCCCTCATCAGTGTCCTTTTAAAAAACATACACTATAGTCCAGTAAGATAACAACCGTACAAAAGCTAAAATAGATTTTAGAATCATATGGTGTGTATCTTGGTTCACCTTCAAAAATCAGGCCAATCTTTGAAAGTAGTGGTTTTTAATCAAAGTTGGCTTTATAGTAGAATAGAATGCATGCACTACTGTTTTAAGAAAATTAGTGTGAGTGTGTATATGTTTCTGTATGATTGAGCCCGTTCATAGTAAGTCTAAACCCTTTTAGGTTTAGACTTCTAGGTTTAAGGTAGCCATGTAGACTAGCAGAATACTATGTAGATGTGATCTCTGTTGTAAAGAGAAAAATCAAAATCCATAAACTCTGTATCACCCCCAAAAAGAAAAAGATTGAGTGTCCAGGTACACATAAACCTCACAGCAGGACAGCCTCCACAGAGCACTTCCCTCACTGCATAAAATGATGCTTACATGTCTCTTCCACAATTGTGCACTCAGTGATACCAGGAACATCTTCATCACCTTTATCTTAGCATTTTCACAGTGCTCAGCACCTAGTAGGGAGGGAGGCGAGTTTGCTTTGGTTCAGCAGACATTTATAAAACATCTAGTGCTGTGCAGTGGAATGAAACAGGAGTGGCTGATATACCTTTAAATACCAAAACGATGATTCAACTCAGTTACTGTAGCTTTATCAAAAACTTTACATCTTAGAGTTCTCCTGGAAAATGGAACTCATAGAAGATATACATATCACTGACTAATAGAGTTATTGATTGACTGATTCATTTAGTGCATTAATTGGCTCACACAGGTGGCCAAGGTGTCCCACAATCTTCCCTCTACAAGCTGGAGACTCAAGAAAGCCAGTGGTATAATTCAGTCCAAATCCAAAGGCCTGAGAAGTGGGAGCACCCCTGTTCAAGGGCAGGAGAAGAGGGACATCCCAGCCCAGGAAGAGAGAGCAGAAATTGGCCCTTCCTTTTCCCTTCCTATTCTACACTCACATCAATGAGGGCAGATCTTTCCTCAAGTCTAATGAATCAAATACTCATCTCTTCTGGAAACACCCTCCCAGACACACCCAGAAATAATGTTTTGCTAGCCATCTGGGCATCCCTTAGCCCAGTCCAGCTGACATATCAAAATAATCAGAACTTTCCAACCCAAGGTGTGCTGACTTCCAGTCTTCCTCTCCATTGCAGTCCTTGCAGGCCTCTCAAGCGCCTAGATTCTCTTCAGGTGGTACGGTACAATCTCACCTTGGCTGCTTGCTGTAGACAAAATTCTACCAAATTAAAAAAATCTGCAGCGTGTACAATATCTATAATTAGGCACCTAGGGTTTCACTATTGTCAACGTTGAGTGATGTCCACATGCCTATACAATGCAGTTGATTTTTCTACAAGGTTTTTGTGTATGTTTTCAGAAAAATAAAAATCTTTTTAATAGTCTTTATTGTAGTAATTAGTTTTAAATACTTGCCTCAGTAGGGCTCCCTCCAACCCCCAGAATTTCCCAGATGACACTGACTTAAGGACAAAAGAATATTATTATATGGAAAAAGATTAGAAAAAAACCCATATGGGATTTTTATATTTGCTAGCAGGGGGAAAAAGTGTTTTTTTCCGTTCTTAACACTATTCATTTTGTGCATCTACTTAGCAGATAATTATTTTGTCTGTGTGTTTGTTTTCTCAGCTAGCTATTAAACATCTTTCGGGTATATGACACCCAGCTAGATATCTTCACTCACTGGTAACTTAAAAGATTTCATGTTTTCTAAACACTTAACATGTATCCCAGAAGTGAAATGCAAAATTTCAGCTTGCTCTTCTCAGGGGGCTGATAAATATGAGTAGAATGAAAAGGAATTTTAAAAACTAAATTATGGTAAATAAAATAAGTCTCTGTGCCTAATTACTAATTAAATTCCTCATAATGCTTGACTCCCTTGTTACTTTGAGAATTCTATCTCTAAAAGTAGTCTTGACTCTCAGGAAGGGTTCGGAAGCCTTAGTTATCCATTAAAAAGTGATGTATAACCTTTATCACTTCACCATTTGGCAATGACGTTTTCTATGTTCTATTGATCAGCAAGTGAGTTATTAGCTTCCTATTCTATTAATTATTTATCCATTATTGTTATGCATGGCTCACATCGCAATTTTCTACCGCCTTTATTTAAAGATAGTTCGGAATATTCAGGAGATCTGAAATGCAGGCTAAAAAAACGATTTTTTATGGAACTGAAGTAGTCTACCTTTTGCCATGTGTATATCATCAAGTAAAGCTTATAAAGCTCCTGAGGGGAGCCCACATATGTTCTGGTCCTTGAGAGAGTAAAGGGCCTCAGAACAAATAACTTTCAATATGTACCTTCTTTATAAAAAGTTCAGGTCTTGAAGTCAGCCAGCAAAATAGAGCCAAAATGGGGGCGAGGGGAGAGGTGTGGAAGGCAAAGAACGCTTATCTTAGGTAACTTAGTCATTGTGTACCCTTATAAAGTGAAATTTGATCTCTAACATGGAACAGGCTTTAGGATGCCATAAAAGTAATAGGGGGTTGAAAATGCGGATCTTGCATCTTGCTACTGACGCGGCCTTGCTCAGAATCATGAAATGAAAAGTCAGAAATAAGAATACTCTTTTGGGCACCTGGGTGGCTCAGTCGGTTAAGCAGCTGCCTTTGGCTCAGGTCATGATCCCAGGCTCCTGGGATCGAGTCCCGCATCAGGCTCCCTGCTCGGCAGGGAGTCTGCTTCTCCCTCTCCCTCTGCCTACTTGTGTTCTCTATCTCTCTGTCAAATAAATAAATAAAATCTTTAGAAAAAAAAATACTCTTTTGCACACAAATTTTTGGAACGGCCACAAAACAGTTTTTATCGAGGTTCATTCATTTTGTGTAAGAAAGGACTAAATAAATGGTCCTACCTGGAATCTCAGAATCAAAGTAGTCTTTTTTTTTTTTTCCTTTTCTAAGATTTTATTTATTTATTTGACAGCGAGAGAGGGAACACAAGCAGGGGGAGTGGGAGAGGGAGAAGCAGGCTTCCCACTGAGCAGGGAGCCCGATGCGGGGCTCGATCCCAGGACCCCGGGATCATGACCTGAGCCAAATGCAGACGCTTAACGACTGAGCCACCCAGGCGCCCCAGAATCAAAGTAGTCTTAAGATGGAGGGGACTTTACAAGGTACTGGTCTAACCCCCTCGCTTTACAGCTATAAAAAATTTGGAAGCCCAGGAAGACAAAAGGACTTTCCAGTCATCAGTCCTCAATTACAGAGAAGCAAGACAGTGCCCAGTGCCTTGTGGGTAAGGTAGCCAAGGAGACCTCGGTGTCCCTGGAGTGACCGTGTGAGCAACTACCTGCTTTACCTCAACCCAACCCAAGCCGACTCTGGAATCAAATCTCTTTACACAAATCAAATTAAATTTACTAATCTTTAAAAATTTAATTAAGTAAGAATTTATTACTTATTTTTTAAAGAATTTATTTATTATCAATTAGTCATTAAAAAATAAGACTATCTGAGATAGTTTCTGTTTATGTGATATGTATATTCCTGAAAACCTGTAAGGTTAATTTGTACAAATAAAGTATATTTTAGACACTTTGTTTGCTTCATATTTCTCTCAGGTGCAGTCAGCATAGTTAACTACTTTCCTTCTTGAAATACCCTCTTGCCTTTCTAGACATCACATTCTTCTGACTTTGCTCTGCTCTTACTCCCTGCTCCTTCTGTCTCCTTTGCTGTCTCCCCTCCCTTTCTCTGCCCAGAAGGTAAGCGTTGGCACACCTCAGACTCAGTCTTGGGCCTTCTCTCTTCTTCTCCTTCCTTCTCTGCACTTCCCTTCTCTATCCTCATGTTCTCTCTCAGGAATCTCCACCTGCTCACGACTTACATGTGTGCTCATGACTCCAAATGTGTCTCTAGCCCAGGCATCATGCATACATTCCTAACTGCTGATCTGATATCTCCATGTGGGTGGCTAATAAACATCCCACACTAAAAAGATCCAAGCCAAAAGTCCTGCTCCCCCTGCTCCCAGATCTCTTCCCGCTACTTCAGTGATTGGGACTGCCTCCACCCAAGAGTTTGAGCCTCAAATCTGAAAGAGGCACCCCTGATTCTCCTTTACACTCCATCCACAAGTCAACCCACCAACAAGTCCTCTTGGCCCTACTTCCAAATCTCTCAACCCCACACCTGCATCCAAGCCACCTGCCCCTCTCACCTACTCCACTGTGAAAGACCCTTAACCTGTTTCTTTTCTTCTGCTCTGTCCCCTCAAGTCCATCAGAGACCACATGGGTAGAGTGATCTTTGAAACGTTAACTCAGATCCTGCCATGCTGTCATCTAAAACTTCTTAGTGATTTTACAGTTCTCTACAAATGTCCTCCGAACCCCCACCCCCCAACAGCCTACAAGGCTTAGCTGGATCTGCTTCCACCCTCGCCACCCCCCCAACCAGCATCCCACTCTCCCCCACTCTCCAGCTGCCATCCTTTCTGCCATTCAAATGTACTAGAGCCTTTCTACCTGGGGGCCTCCTTTCTCTCCCTAAACTGCCTCCCCTAGTTCTTCAAATGCTTCGTCTAGGTCCCCTCCTCATGCAGACTGCCCCTTCCTGTCCCATCACCACTGGCCTCCCCACTTGCTCACCTTCCTATCACCCAGCTTATTCCCATCACAGCACCACACTCCTGGCAACCTGTCACTCTGTTGTTTGTGTCTTTGTGGACTTGTTTATGTTTCTCCAATAGAAGGTAAGTTCCACCAGGGCCCAAACTCACCCTGTCACCACCAATCCCCAGTGTCCAGCAGAGCACCTGGCACATTAAATACGCAATATATAAGTAAATCGTGGATTGAAATGTGCTAATGAATCTCCCTTAAAAGAATGGTAATGGGAAACAATTTAAGAATTGCAGGATCAGTCACATGCACATCCTTGTTCATCTTTGGATGTGAATCTCAGCTTTCCTACCCCAAATTGACTGAAAGTGAGAAAACCCTGTGTACATACACATAGACACACACACTTTTCAGCCAGATTATTTATTTATGGAAAAGTCACATGAACTAAATTCCTGCTCAAGCAATTATTATATCCCTTGGAGATGGTCACCACAAAATGTCCCCTATGACAGGCAGTTTTCTAAAGAATTCATTGCTCTTGGCCACTCACTCAACAAAGACACGTTGTAAGTCAGCTGCCATGATTCCCATGGGACCAGTGCCATACAAGACTCGGAGGGACAGAGGTGAAGAGGAGGAGGAGGAAGTCGCTGTCCATAGGAGGTCCTGTCCTGGGGTGAGAAGGTGTAAGCAGGGAAACAGGGTGAGGGCTGACCTGGGGGAGGCAGCCTGCATCCAGTGATACTACATACTCATTTGTTGTATCTCGTGTGTGTTTTATCACTTTCTCTGATGAACCTTTTGACTTCTTTCATGGTCTTTTTCTGCTCTCTTTTCCTGCACACATCTCAAGACTCTACCTTCCCTCTGTGTGGATGGATCCCCAGACGGCTCCATCCCTGACTTCTCAGCGAAGCCTGGCACCTCTTCCTCCTCCTGCCCCTTAAACTCTTCCCTTTGCAGGCCGTCTGGCACCTCAGCATCCACATTTCCTCCTAGAGTAGCTCCTTCATAGACTGCCCCATAGCTGAAGATGCCAGCGCTGAATGCCAGCCACTCCCGCTTGAAACCCTGGGTTCTCTTCATGGCTTTGCCGCTATTCAAGAGCAGGCGTTCCCATCCCATCTAGGTTAGCTTTCCAAGTCCCCTCAGCTCACTCTCACTCCTCAACACAGTATATTCTCCCCTGCTCTTTCCCTAAAGGCATTCACCACTTCCAATGCCAACCCCTCCACGCCCTTCCCCTAACCACCCTTCCAATTCTTGCCAGAGTAAGGTCCAGGCCTTCATGAAGCCTCCCTCATTCTTTTGGGCCACCATTTCTTCTTCCCCAACTTCCGTAACATTCTAGTTACAGAATAGCTTATCGTAGTCTGTATTCGTCTATAATAGTCCATAATATAGTTTACAGTAGCCATTTCATACATCAATTATATCTTGGCTGACAACTGTTCTTTTTAATATCTTATTCCCTACAAAGAAACATTATGCTCTTGGAGGGCAAGCACCCTATTTTTGACCTTCCTTTCTTTTGCCCCATGGTGCTCAGCACTGAGTTATAACACTCTGAATGTAGCAAATGATACATGTGTTAATGAATGAAGGCAGGGATCTGAAACCCTGTAGTGTAGGCCAAAAGTGGTGGTTCATCTTCACAAGGGACGGACAGTGGAGCCCTGTCCACTAACCGGCACTGAAGCAAAGCTCCCAGGACAAAGCCCACAGGAAGGAGCCTTTGGAAAGTGGCCGCTGCATGGAAATCCAGTCCTCACTATATCCCCCGAGCGATGGTGGCCAGTTCAGAGAAAGTATGAGTCCCAATTGCCACCAGAGATTCAGATCAGGATGTATATTTGGATTTGGAGGAAAGGAAAGCTCTCATTTTCTTCTCACTAGTTTTGGAATTGTGAGGATGAAAATGTGCAATCACCAGCAGCCATCTTGCCCTTGAGAAGGGGGATCCCTTTGAAAAGGGAGAAAGCAGAACTAAGAAGTAGAGATGGAACATGGATTCTGGTGATATATTTAGAGTAGCTAGATCCTGCTATGCCCAAAGCTAACTATTTTTTCCAATTATGTGAGCCAATAAATTCCTTGTTTGCTTAAGTGATTATGAGTCAGGTTGTTAGAGTCCCAGTATGTCTTCCTAAATCCAAATTATTCCTGGTATTTTAGGTCTGGAAGTAAATACAGAGATGAAGTTAACTCTTACATTTTTATAATAGAAACCCAAGAACTCGAGAGAATGTGACTCTAATATGAGCATACTCCTAAGTTGTAGCAGAGACCAGCCTAAAACCCAGGCCTTTGCTCTCCCAGTGCTATGGTTTTCCTGCCACAAAATGTTATATTAAATCAAAGTGTTTTTTTCTTATATGGATGTTTTATTTCCCCAACTGGAGCATAAAAACCTAACAGGGCAGGGGTAGGAGCTATGTCCTAAATTTTTCATATGCCCTGAGCCTAGCATGGTATCTTGCATGTGGCAAACATACAAGTACTAGTTAACCAATTACTGAGTTAAGAAAGCTTTTTGTACCATGAGACTTTTGTTTTTATGTTTGCATGATGATGTGTTACTTTCAGGGTTTTTACTATTGGAAAAGTATAGGAGTATAGAAATACAGTTGTTGTTAGCAACTGTAATCATTTCCTACAGATGTCAGTCTTTTTGTCTTAGTCAAGTAACAACTTTTATTAAGTAGCCATTATATGGAGACACTGTGGGATTTGGCAAGCAATAGGCCTGTCTCTGCCCTTGAAAAGTTATTAACCTCCATCATCACATGGCCTTCTCCCTATGAGCCTATGTCTTCACATGCTGTTTTCCTCTTCTTAGAAGGACAC